AAAAAAAAAAAACTATTGGATCCAAATGGCTTTCGAGCCAATATCAAAATTGTTTTGTTTTTTTTTTATTTCGAAATTGAATTATTTTTATAAAAAATATCATTCATAAAGTGATAAATGAGATACTAATATCTCATTTCCAAAAAAAAAACTTTCAAACTCTCTTTACTACCTACTTTGCTCTGCAAAGTACCATTTAAATTTCTTAAAATCTTTTATATATTTATACAAACTAAAGATGTTGGTGCTTCAAATTTTAACTTACTCCCACCAATCAAATGTACTTATTTATTTTATATACAAAAGTGAAGTTTATCAAAATTTTAATTTTAGTCCCCCAACTGTAATGTGATAAATCTAATACGAATGTTATATTTAATTAACTAATATTAATAGAATAAAAAGGTCCAATTACAGCTCGTCTAAGAAGGTAAAGGCCGAACTAACAATCAAGTCGTGGGTTTGCCCTTTTTTTTTTTGGAAAATTGTGTGTAGGTACCTAGCGGAGGACTTTTTTATGAAAAAAGACCTTGAAAAAAATGTGTTTGTAGATAAGTAACAATAGATTGAAATGTATTATAGAGAGATACAATATTTTTATTCTTCTCTTTACTATAATATCCTTTCTCTATTTTATGGTCTTTGTATTTTGATAATTTCTTATTATATGAAGATTTGATTTTATTGATACGCAGTTTCTGAATCTAGAAGATTTCTTTTTTTCTTTTTTAATCACTGACAAAAAAGTTGTGAAATTACTTTCAATCCATATATACTTTTAATAAATAACAGTGTTACATCAACAATGTAAAGTAACACTAATTTCAGTTATTTAATTGAGAGATTTTAGGCTAGAATTTACTGTTAATATAGGGGTAAGAGAATTGTAGATAAGGTCAATTATATACAAACATAAGGAAGATAAATTATAGCTATGTGGGAAAGATTTTAGAAAAGGGAAAAAAGATGTTTAAAATTTAAATTCATTGTCTCATTAAAATAACAAACTCTTAATTTCTTTTTAGAGAACTGTGGTTTGTATATAGTTGAAAACCGAAGAAATTTGAGAAAGTTTTGTTCAAATTTTAAAAAATTGAGTTTTGAGGTCTGATTAGTAACTGGATTTTGTGGAGATGGTGAATGAAATCTTACAGTTTTCAAAGATAGATAAACGTCTATTCAGTTATCTCTGTGGGTTTTTTGAAACAAAAAAAATGAGGATTTCTCCACAAAAAATTTTAACCAGATGACCTTTATGCAAACAAGTCCCATATAGGATATTAGCCTACAAAAAATTCATTTTTTTCCCAAAGCTAGCCAATGATCTGGCAATCCAATCAAGTTTGAGCCTAGAGTTGATAATCGAACCGAATTATTCTAGTTCAGCTCTTTTTAGGTTTGTTCAGGTTTAGCTCGTTCGACATATTAGACTCGTTTATATATAAATACTCAGATTCAGCTCAATAACTCAACCCATTGGTGATTTTCTGCCAACGTGGTGGAAGGTTATAGTATTAAAATAATCAAAAATTAAAATAAAATTAGACAAAAATTAAAGTAAAAAGAAAATAATAATATTAATTCACGACAGTTTTTTTTTGGGTCGCAATAAATTTTTAAGAATTTTTATTGCAATGTTTCCATGTTTGTTGCGGAATATGAATTTTATTTTTTTAAGTCAAAATTAAAATTAAAAATAAATAAAATTATTAATTCATGACTTTATTTATTTGTGTCGCAATAATTTTTTTTTAATTTTTTATCACGACGATTTAATTTGTGTCGCAAAATATATATTTTTTAAAATCAAAACGACGTCGTTTTTGGAAGCCCAACCTTTCAAGCCCTCCTTCCTCAAGATGCCTCCTAATCATTGTATCTCTCGCTCTCTCTTTCTCAAGAGGCCTCCTCTATACTTGCTCAGAACCATCACCACATCCACCAACGCCACTAACCACCTGTGATGGTTACCAATGCATCTAGTGTCTCTAGTGCAACCTTTGACGACTACAAACGCTATCCTCAGCTCACCATTTTCGTTCAGGCAACTCTCTCTTCCTTTTTCTCTCTCTCCCCCTTCAAATTAGGGTTTTGTCGTAGTGTCCTTATAGTGTCATATTAGGGTTTAGCCTTAGTGTCCAGAATACCTTTGAATTTATCCTAAAGTCCTTCGAAATGGCACGTTAAGGGTGTGACTTCGTTGAAAACCTCTCCGGTGGCCACCTCAACCTAGTCAAGTTATTACAACAAACTTGATGATTTTAAATTTGAATGTTTATGTATGTTTTGTAAAAATAGATTTATGATTTGTTATTGTATTTTTTTCTTTTTTTGCAACAAATGAATGATGGATTTCTACATCAAAGTGATTGAAGAATTAAATTAGTTATGTATTTAAATATTTTGGAAAACTTGTACATGGATTACATTATTTGATACTTTGATGACTTGTATAAGTTTTATGTATTAAAGTTAAGTGTACTTTATTGTGTGTTTTGGTTAGTATGACATTTAATGCTAGTTTGTGTTGGTTGTTGAATGGAAAATAGGTGATATGTATTAGTTATGTTGGTTTTTTATTGAAAACTATGTGATAGGTATTATTGGTGTATAGGTGACAAAATTTATTAGAATGTTTTTTTAAGGAGGGTTATTTAAAAAAAAATAACTTTTTTGTGACAAAATTAAAATCGTCACGAAAAATTCTATGAACTGTATTGTATTGCAACAATTAGTATTTTTTATTGTCATTGTATTTATTTAACCACATTTTTTAAGTGTCGCAAATCTGTGTTTACATTATTGAAAAATCAACTTTTTAGCTATAATTAATGGCTACATTGCAAATAAAAAAGTTTTTGCGACATTTTTTGTGGCATCACCAATGTGTAATAATTTTGATTTATGTAAAATTTATTTGCAACAATTTTTATGAGTCGCAAAAAAATTAATTAATTTATTATTAATTTTTTTTAACGACGACGAAATATATTTTTTGCGACAATATTTTTATTTTTTGCAATATTTTTTTGTGACAAAAATAATAGCTCGCCGCAAAATACTTACCTCGGTGAGGCTATTATAACGACTCCGCAACAACAAAAAAAAGTTGCTAAAAATAATTGACAATGATTTTTATTCTTCTAGCGACAAGAAAAAATTGTCACAAAAAATATTTTTTAATTATAATGTCACTGTTTTAATGAATATTTTACTCAATTATTAGGGCCATCATGGCTGCAAGAATCTAATTTAAACTATTGAAATCCTTAGTTATGATTATTAAAGATATTAAAACTTCTTACGTTTCTTTAATTTTTGTATCGTACTGTCGTTATAAATTTATGGATCTTTTTACAATTTTTTATGATCATTTCATAATTTTGTGGTAACTTACTATTGATCCTAAAAAAAAAAAATGTAACTTGGTCGTTTGTTATAAAAAATCCTCAAAATTTCTATTAAAATCCACAAAACTCATAAAATTTGATGTACCGTATCGAAATTTCTTTTTGGGTAATTAATTTAGTCTTGTACTTCTTTAAACATGGGAAGGGATTAGAAAATGGAAGTCAACCAAAATGATTAGCTCGACGAAGTCAAATGATGGGCAAAGTTTGAAGTTATCTGATGATTCTAGATAGGAGTGACAATCCTAACCACGTTAGGGTGCATTTGCTTTAGATATTTAGAAAGAAGGATTGAAAAAAAATATGTCTGAGAATCATTTTATTCCTTTTACTCCCATATTTGGATACACACTTGGACCCGGTATTACCACCTAGAAATAATTTAGGTCCGAATGAATAGCTCATTTATAGCCACATACACTTTCTTAAATAAACTCACATATTTGGTGGATTTAAATATTCCAGTTGGGGTATATTTTGACAAAAAAATATTTTTATCCCCAAGGATATAATTATCTTGAGGGTTCTTTAATACTTTAATATTTGTATCA